TTTAACAGATAATGACTATAACAAATATTATCTAATTTATAATAAAGTAATATGCCTATGATTTATGATGCATTGACAAATTAGAACGTTAAAAATACTAACAGGGTATCTCACAACGAATTTCTTATTTGCACTCATGATGGTAAATGGTAAATACTTAAGATTAAATTGCCAGGTCTGAATGCGCTGACTATATACTTTAGTATTTGAATCGATTGAAATTATAAGCGAAATCAATTTAACATGGAAGAATCTTATTTTATTATAACGTTTAACGTTAAGATCCTTTATAAAGCAATTTATTCAGAACATATCTAGTCATATTGATGTATTAAATAAAATTATTCAGAAGATCAAAATATATATTTTCTAAAGGCTTGATACCAATTAACGCTTTATTAATGTATTTTTATTTTCTATGTCTTACAAATTGAGAACCAGGGTTTAAATTTAATTCGAAACCTAAAGGTTTTAAAACCTAAACTAGCTTTACCATCCCTACTTGGAGCTATTCCAAAGATTTCTTGTAAACTAAAATCTCGGAATCATAAATTGCTTTTTCTTGTGCGTACAGGTCTTCGAATGGCTTTGATGTAAAAAAAATAGTAAATTCATGAATAAAATAAGATAAATAAAAAGTAAAGACATTATAACATAAAGTTACCTTCTTTTCTTCAGGACTCATTGATTTCCATCTCTCAACCAACTCTTGAGTTTGTTCGATCAAAGTCTTAGATTCATCAAAATTTTTATTTGCCGAAACAAAATGTATAAAAGCAGTTCTTGGACGCTTTGGTTTTCTAGAATCTTTCAAAAGCCTTACATGTTTACCCTTCAATTTCCCCAATTTGCGACGTTCATTTACTCTAACAATATCTTTTGAAGTCAAAGAATCTTTCCAGGCTTTAAAATCATCTTCATATTTAGATTTAGCATTTCTATATTTTTCCCAATACGCCTATAATTGTATTATAACAGATAATGTAAAAAATCAAAGATATGAAATAAAGAGAAATAGAATATAAAAAATGAAATATATACTTCTTTTTCATCATTAGATAAAGATCTCCATTTTTCACCAGCTATTCTGCCAATTTCCGTAACTTTTAAAGTAGCATTCTCTGGCTTGAATTGTTTATAGAAATCAGTGAAAAATATGATGTACGGAGTACCAGGATTTTTAGGACCTTCAGGAACTTTAGAAAGTTGTAAAAATTAAGTAAAAATAGTAAATGAGACGAAATAAAAATAAGAAATTATAAAAAGGTTAAAGAAATAATACCAGGCCCGTCATCTATAGGTTTAGCAGTTTTAGTCTTGGTTCGGGCTTTAGTGGTAGTTTTTTTTGTTGCAGTACTTTTTTGCTTAGTTGTTCGTGGTTTACCAGTTGTAGACTTAGGAGCTTTTGTTCTTGTGGAAGTTTTTGCAGTAGCATATTGTCGTAATAAACCAACACTAATGACGTGACCAGAATTTAACGACCCTAATAAGCGCGTATAATTGTTAGGAGAAACTACTTTACTTAAAGACTAAAGACGAAACCTAAAACCGGCCAAAGACGAAAAACGAAATCCCTGTCGAATTGACGAAAGAGATATAGTAGTTGATAGACGAAACAAATTTTCCATGTTGTCGAAATGAAAGACAGGTAAACACAATTCTGATACACGAAATTTACACCAAAAGTACCCTGGCCGTGGCTAGATTAAGTGTAACGTAAAAATCACGCCGACACTATAACCTAATTTTGCCCAGTAAATTAAACTACCTGGCACTACAGTGCAGAGCGTCTTAAATTACTTAAATTAGCAAAAAAAAATAAATAAATAAAAAATATAGCTACGTAAAAGATTTTTTTTTTTTAAAAATATAGCTTATGAAGTTTGTTTTTTGATATAGCAAAATTTGACAATACAAGTTACTCTTGTTATAGTGAAGTGATCCGTTCCATAGTAAAAATTTTTAAAAGTTCATTAAATTCACTATATCGAAAGGATTTTTATATAAACTGGTTTGGGATTTATCTTCACTATACTATAACGAGAGTTCACTATAACGAGAGTGACTTGTATTATTAATAAAATAAAAATTTGGCCATATATATATATATGAGTGTCGCTAAAAGAAAACCCGAAAATTTTAAATATAAGCATATTTAAATTTTCGGATTTTCTTTTAGCGACACTCAATATATAAACATAATAAAAATTTAAAAAACAGCCACCTTTTCAAAAAGTCGTTATCCTGCACTGTAGGAATTGTAACCGTAGAAAAATTTTCCAGTACTTAATAATTTATAAAACCATGAACTAAAATTTACATTCTAACAAAAAAATTTTACTCAGAATTTCTTTGACAATAAAGTTCATTACTATAAGTACTTTATTCGATTGTTTGACTTTCCTTGCCATTTGACTAATCATTAATGTTAATAAATCAAAAGTTTAGTAACTCTGATAACTCTGAAACACAATCTTTTGAATAATTCAAATTATAGTGAAATGATCTAAGAACTTTTTTATTTTTTTTCGCTTAATACATTGAGGTTACAATTTCATTTATAAATTTACAAATAGTTTTAGTTTAACCTTTTTTTTGCCATGTATAAGTTCTAAAATTGAGAAATAAAACCAGGAAAAACAACTATTATAAACCCAAGCAATGATTTAAACAGGGTAATTAAAAAAGGAACTTAAAATACCAAACATAATAGATAAGAAGTTTATGGCATGAATAAAATGATTTAATGTTAAGCGATGTTATAAAATTATGTACTCACGAACAAAGTTGAACAAATAAGTAATATTGTAAAAGGCGAACCTGATTTAGAGAGCTTATGATAAATTAAAATGACACGAATAAAATTATTAAAACATTGTTATTAAAGAATAATTTAGTAATATTAAGATAAAAATTTAAAAAGATCTTTAAATATATCAATACTTACAGAACAGAGTAAATCATAAGTACTGTATTATCAAAGGAAAACACATGTTTCACAATTTATGGGCTCACTAACCTTCCGAAAATCTGATTCCATGATACATCATGATACATATTTGATCGAAATATAACAAGTCTAATTCTATGAAATGATGTAACCGGAAAAACTAATCATATACTAATAAACTACATGCTTCGCTTGGCAATACTCATAAAAGTTGTAAAACTCAAAAGAACCATTAGATATTATTTTTGTACAAAGCAAAAGTTTCAAGTTTGCTTAATTACTTATCTTTTGCCAGTTTCATCACTTTTTGCCAGTTTTGTCGCTTAAGACGAATAATGAAACTAGGCTTCGTATTTCGTTAATGTGGAACCCTAAGCTTAACATAAAAATTATTCAAGCATTTTTAATGCCTATTGAATCTAACTAATTGTCTTTTATTCCGATTTTATCGTTTTTTTCCTTCTTTGACGCGAATAATAATGAACTATCAAAGATGTTGCACGGAATTTTCTAATAAAATACCCTTATAATTTAAGGTTTAAATAGTACTCACGATATTGACATTGCCTCGGATAAACTTCATAGTGCTTCATACAAATAAATGGTAACAGACAAAATGTACTGTACGGATGTTAAAAGCCTGGTCAGGTCCGATTCGACTCTATTGAGTCGAGTTTTAATTTAGACTCGGTCTCAAGTCAAACTTTGGGACCGAGTCCTAAAGTCACATACAAGATTAAAGATTTAATACGTATTATAAATATATACTATAATTCAGGGACAGCGTATATCGATATAAATCGCAGCTCGATATTTGATACTGTAATATTGCACATGACTATAGGACTCAGTCCCAAATCTGACTCGACTTCATGGACCGGCCGGACGTTTAATATCCCTAACTGTACGAACATACGTACAGTACGTACGTACGTACGTACGTACTTACGTACGTAAGCATGCACACATGCAAGGGTAAAAGATAAATTTGTACATCACATGTACCTATTACCATATAAATCATTCGAAGTGGTGAGAGAGATATATATTATCATGATTGGCTGATGTTTTATCACGAAAAGGGGGAAGGGATTACGTAATGGACATCACTTCTCTTAATGATTAATGCCAACAACTAACTCAGATATCAATCTAATAAAAAAATTTGAAAATAATAACTCAAATAACAATCATAGACGTTGATAAACCACACCACTGATGTTCAACACCACATTATAAAAATCACAAATTGCTCAAAATTTTATTTATGAAACTATCCTTCGTGTTTAATTAAAAATAAATAAATAAATAAAAATCAAAATTCCTTGCAAAATTTTGTATAAATTATACTTTCCATTAACTCTTTACCCAAATTTAACAAATTTCGATGTTGAACACCATGGTATGCTTTATATTATTTGATGAAAATACTTGATTTAATGGTTTTGATGAGATTTATATAAAAGATTTTACTGCTTTTGGTCTATTTAATCGCAAAATTTGAAAATAAGTTAATTTGTAGGTGAAAAGAATCTGAGCGTTAAAATTCATATATTAATTCAGTAATACTAATAATACCATGATGCTCAACACTATGCATAATACTGTATGGCTATAGTAATTTTTTAGAATTAGATTAGGAATTGAAGGTTATAATAAGTTAGAAGCTAGAATTTAAGAAAAATTTTTTGGAATTCCGAACCTTTTCATTTAAAGCATCAAACTCTCACTTTCCAGGATAAATCTTTAACAACTATTGTGCTAAACACCATTGGTATGATTTTTTTTTTTTTATATACTGTATATACTGTATATAAGGAAAATTTTTTAATTTGACCAATTTGCTCTCCATATGTTTGGCTTATTCACGTGATTGTCAAAATATAATGTATTATTGGATGATTATAGATGTTACACACAGATCATAAATTTGATATAAACAGACACGTAAAATCGCGATCGAATCAACACCTCTCTCTCTCAAACTTACCCCACATTACGATATACCGTCAATAAACCTACACTCCAGATAAATCATAGAACAATTACAATGCAACTCGAACAACAATTCGACCAAAACGAATGGTTAGCATTAAATAATGGCCGATTATGCAAAAACTGTTTAGTGGACAACACTGACTGTATAACTTCGCAGGAATTCGGCTGAGTTGCAAGAATATCTACTTTATTTAGAACAAAGAGAAAAGGACGTTAGATTATATGAAGATTACATTTCTTATTCCCAAAAATACTACGGTTAGAATTTGCTTCATTCATCTCATTAGATTTAACACCTTTTTTTATCACCTGATTAATTATTATGTTTCTTATTAATAGACGATTATTTTGAGTACAGGTAATATTTGTTTTCATTTTCGCTTTAGATTACTAAGTATCATTTCTTAGCTATTCATTTTCATAAGACATGTTACTCTTCCAAAACCACTTGTTCAATACGTCCCCCTTGATCGACTCATGACGGAAGATGAATGGCGAGGCCTTGGTGTTAAGCAATCTCCAGGGTGGGAACACTACATGATTCACGGTATTATTTTATTGCGTTTTTACTTGTCAGAATTAACTACTATTAAGATATAACTTTCTTTATAAACAATTCCTTCTCTTAAATATCTCAGCACCCGAACCTCACATCTTACTTTTTAAACGTGAAAGAGATTACCAACTCAAGTATGGCGTTCCTGGTGAAGTAGCAGTATTGAGGTAATGAATTACGACCGATTGTAGTGAAGTTGAAATTTTTTGGCAGTATTGACGTAGGTGGTAACTCCGGACATATTAAATATAGACTGTAATTCTTGTAGTATGTCGTATATTATGCAGTAAATTGTAATTCGAGTAATGATAATAACGATTGATAACGATAATGGTAAATAAACTACGTATATACGTGCAGTAATATACGTTTTGACTGTCCAAAAGTGTCCAAAGCATGTCCTTTAATAATTGTCGGGGATGATACTGAAATTTGTGGTCTTAATTTGAAAATATAAGCCCTACTAAAATCCACCTATACTCTTTTATTATAAACACTAACCCTAACTTCTAATCGAA